CCCAATACGCCACGAATACATGCAAGAGAGATATTAGTTGTTTAACTTCTGTAAAATTATAATTATATATATATTTTTTTGGAAGTAATTATAAATAAAAGATTAAATTTTTTATTATATGTGTATATATTTCATCTAATAATACTTTGTCCAGAAAGGTGTCTTTGTCTTAAATTGCGTATCAATACTTGTTTGAACTAAGAGAGAAAGGTAGAACAATGAATCAGAAATATTCATTGGCTTTAAATTAACTTTCTTTTGTTGTGGTTCGTTCTATTGTCAAACAGTTGAAAAGAAATAACATAGAGCAAAAATGTTCATGTGTGCGTGCGAGTTATCGACAAAGTACTCACGGAATGGTCACATTCCCACGTGTCGCGGTCGATGCTATGCATGCACATCTGGAGATGAACATAGTCCCGGTTACATAACAGGGCTATACCTGGAGGGAAATCATGACGTCACCAACAACAACTAAAAAAAAAATGCATCATTCCTTGCGATTGTTTCTAATAAAATAGTCTTTACCCCACTTCTAAATAGCAAAGAAACTACTAAATCAGTGGTTCTCAGCTTATTAACTTAAATGACCCATTGAAAGCATTTTCAGAGTTGTGGCGACCCACAACGGGTTTTGAGAGGTTAAAAAGGAAGGGGGGGGAGGGGGTATTGACTGTGCTTGACTTATGCATATTTGATATTTTACGTATTTTAAAAGCTTTTATATTTTGTGTGTTTTGGGCAAAATCTTCGGAGGTCTAATTAACCCCCTGCCCGTCATCCTATCGAACTGAAACTTGGCGGAGAAAGGCACACAAGAACAACCTTAGATGTACATGTAATGTTATTTATTTACAAAATGGAAAGAACTTGTCAAAATGTATCCATTAAATCATCCGCTGCCACCTTGGCCTACCAATGACCAAATGAATCATATTGATATAAATGTGGTGCATTCACGGTGTAATGACAGTGTACACACAAATATTTACATTTTAACATGAGAGGTGGTACAAGTAACATAACAATGCACCATTTTGGAGGCCGGATTGATTGTGACCAAAGTCAACGTGGCCGACGTGTCTCCTAAATGTTTATTTAATAAATATCCCTATATTGAACATGTAAGTCATGTCGAAATGCAACATAAAGCAAGAAATTGTGGTGTTTCTTTTTTCTGAACATTTTAAGAATACATTTAGTTAAATTGAATCTCCATATAAACTATCATTAGATGGGAAAAAAAACATTTGAATTGCACGGTTTTCTTTGTTCACACCAGTGAGAAGCATGAAAGGGGTGCTTTTGTAACATAAAGAACTTCAGTTGAGGCTCCGAGTAAGTAATTCCTATGATCACAATTGTTTGCAAATGCTCATCAGATAAGGTTGTTTCGTAGTCGGATGTTAGACATTTCATCTTTGAAAATGGCTTCTCACACAAGTTAGAGGCTCCAAAGAGTAATTTGAATTTATAGCAAAGGTTGTTTTTTTTAAACGAGCAAATTTGCACAAGAAGTTTAGCAGTTTCCCTTCTTTGCACCTATCTTTCAAAATATTATTAAACTGCAGAGCGATTTCTTCCATTTGAAATTCAGTCAGCAGCTCATCGGCGCTATCAAACGGGTTTGAATGGGTCTTATTTTTTCCCATTGGCTTCCAGGTCTCAGAAACATTCCCCTGCAACATCCGTCTCAAATCAGAAAGTACTCATTGCACAAAATTCGCGTAAGAATTGGCCTTGTTCATACATAACACGGACATTGAGTTCAGCAACCCCCTCATTAACTAGGACTCAAAAGGGTTTAGTTTATGTCGAAATACATTGATATCGGTGGACGGTAGATTCATTATTGATGACAATAAATGGTAACGTTATTGATGGCAATAAATGGTAATGTTATTGATGACAATAAATGGTAATGTTATTGATGACAATAAATGGTAATGTTACTGATGACAATAAATGGTAATGTTACTGATGACAATAAATGGCAATGTTACTGATGACAATAAATGGTAATGTTACTGATGACAATAAATGGCAATGTTACTGATGACAATAAATGGCAATGTTATTGATGACAATAAATGGTAATGTTACTGATGACAATAAATGGCAATGTTACTGATGACAATAAATGGTAATGTTACTGATGACAATAAATGGCAATGTTACTGATGACAATAAATGGCAATGTTACTGATGACAATAAATGGTAATGTTACTGATGACAATAAATGGCAATGTTATTAATTACAATCATTTTAAGTGCATTACATAAATACGTATTTAAACCAAGACAACATCTAACAGTTGTACACCTTTAAACACGAGACATCTCAAGCATTTCTCTGGTTTAGAAATCATGTTTAGCATACGCTTGGTGTTTTGCCTTGCAATCTAAGATCCCGTTTATTTAAATGTTTTGTGGAATCTGCAGAAAAGTCTCATCTCCAAAGCTATACCCTCTAACAGTGGGCGGAAAAATCATTCGTCCAAAGAGGCAAAAATCAGTAGCTGGACGATTTTTTTTTTAAATTTGAGAGCCAAATTTCTTTTCACCTGATTATAAAGCATGACGGAAAGATTTGACAAATGTGTTATGGGACCACCTGACATCTGGCAGAAGTGGGATGGGACAACCTGACAGGAGTGTGATGAGACAACCTGACAGGAGAGTGATGAGACCACCTGAGAGGAGTGTGATGGGACCACCTGTTAGAAGTGTGATGTGACCACCTGACAGAATTGTGATTAGACCACCTGATAGAAGTGTGATGAAACCACCTGACAGGAGTGTGACGGGACCACCTGAAAGAAGTGTGATGGGACCACAGGACAGAAGTGTGATGGGACCACCTGTTAGAAGTGTGATGTGACCACCTCACACGAGTGTGATGGGAACACCTGACAGAAGTGTGATGGTACCACCTGACAGGAGTGTGATGGGACCACCTGACAGGAGTGTGATGGGACCACCGGACAGGAGTGTGATGGGTCCACTTGACAGGAGTGTGATGGGACCACCTGACAGGAGTGTGATGGGGCCACCTGACAGGAGTGTGATGAGACAACCTGATTGAAGTGGGATGGGACCACCAAACAGTACTGTGATGGGACCACCTGACAGGGGTGTGATGGGACCAGCTGACAGGAGTCAGAAATCTTCTTGATTCTGTTGCGTGGTTAAGGGAAGTGGCATTATTTTCACATATATGAAGGGCATTGACACTGTTTTCACACATATGTTGATACTGAATTTGTCAAATAAAAATTAACTGAATAATCACGCTCCTGGTGGGACCAGATAAACCGAAGCCCCGGATCCGGTCCAAGGACCGTAGTTTGTCAATCCCTGTTTCTAGACTAGATAGCTTATAGGATCAAACAATCAAACAATTCGATGTGGAATTTATTGAAATAAAATTTGTAAAAGTCATAGGTATGATCTTTTAGTTCAGGGGTCTCAAACTCAAATTATCCGGGGGCCGCAGGAGGTGGAGTCTAAGTGAGACTGGGCCGCATCAAGTATTCCACAAAAAAGCGATTACAAATTTAATAAAGTGCAACTGTTACAATCTGCTCAACCTGTATATTAATAAAAAAAACAATAAAAACATTAAGGGTTCTCAAGAACTAGGCTTCACTTTCTTCCTCCTACTCCTTGTTGCCAGAGACCTTTCGGCGCTTCTACTTACACAGCTGAGCAACATTTGGCTTGAGTGAGGAAGCCACTGAGGCCCTCAGTATAGCTTGAAGAGGCTCATCGGTAAGTTTGGCACTGAACTTTGACTTACTAAAGTTCATAATGGAAAAGAGCTTTTCACACAGATACGTACTCCCAAATAGGTACATGGACCTGGAAATCTCAGGGAAGGTGGAGGGCAATGCTCTCATAAATTGCCCATGCTTGTCTGTTTTTCTATTCACCTCCCTGAACTCCCTAGTACTTTTCATGTTGGGAGATGTTTCTCTGAGAACCATAACACAAGTTTTCTGCAGGATGCCCTGCTATTGTCATAGGCAACACTGACAAGCTACCCCTGGTCTTGTTGAGAACATTCAGGTCCTCTGTAATTTCAACGAGAAAAGCCAAGTCTACGAGCCATTTGGGACTACTTAGTAAAGGAACAATAAAGGCTCTTAAGGCTAAAACGTGTTCATACAGCAGGCAGGTGCTGGAAATATGTATGTATTGTTGATGCGAAGGAAAGTGCTATTGTAGAGAGAATCAATTTTTTGTTATTTTTTTTTATCGCAGCAAATGCCTTTTTGAGTAACCCTATTTTTAAAGTGACAAAGCTGACAGCACGGAATTTCCCTCACTTGTAAACACTAGCGGCAAATTTTAAAAGGGATTGTTTGATACTGCGTCAGATTGCTACGATTTAAAAAAATTATGGTTGTGCATTACCCACTAACTGACTTTTAAAACATTTCTCAAAACCGCACTTTCGCACTGTTTGTCGCATAAAATGCTATAAAATTAAAACTTTTAATCCAATTTTTAAACGGTTTTTACAATTATTAACAACGTCTAAATCTATACAAACATAATAAAATTAGAATCAGACTACTCTGTGAGATGGACTGAAAACGTCGGTCAGGGTCCCATTATGGATATGAAAATTGGGAAAACGGGCGATCCGCATTAACGCCATATTTGCTGTCAGGTAGCGGGTCGTAAAATATCGTATTGCGTAAATGGCCTGCGAGCCGCGAGTTTGAGACCCCTGCTTTAGTTGAAGATATATTTAAAACAGACACTAAAATTCAAGACCTTTACATCGGTAGATAATATAACCTGCCGGTGACGGTGACTGCCACCATTGGTGAGTGCTGATTTTGACCGAGATCTTACGCTCAAACTGCCCGATTATTTGTTGATACCTTTCGAACCACCCAACGGCCAGAGAATTGTAACATTGAATCCCCTCTCTTTGTTTCACTGACATTATTGTGCTGTGTTTGTGTGATGCTTTACCAGGTGGTGTATACTGCTCTAGGGGGCCGTAGTGCTTTCCTTGTCTGACGAGAGTGAGCAGCGATGTGTAGACATGGCGTAGCAGCGAGTCGCCGATCACATACACCGTCATGTTGTGCAGTATGTGACAAACGTCATCAGGACCTGTGAACGACGTCATCTGAAATGGCAAGACAGAAGAACATTCTTCCATCAGCTTTATCTCGGAGGTTAACACAAGGACCACCTAGAGCAGTGGTTCTCAACCTTCCTAACGACCCTTTAACACAGTTCCTTCATAGTGTGGCGACCCCCAGCCACATAATTATTTTCGTTGCTACTTCATAACTGTAGAACATATGTGTTTTCAGATGGTCTTAGGCGACCCCTTGGAACGAGTCGTGTGACCCACAAAGGGGTCGCGACCCACAGGTTGAGAACCACTGACCTCTACCTACCCCACAGCGTGTATGCCAACAAGCCACTTCGCGGGCCTTACTTATAAACTGTCCTGTAACGTACAGTTTTTATAGGCATTTTCCCATTACGTCACCAATTTCGCGTATTTACTTTTATTTTTAGAAAAATATAGAAAGAATAAAAGTAATTCTTCAAAAGAATTATTTTTTTTTTGGTTAATTGAAATAGTCACCTGACATTCGGGATCAGATGGCTTCCATTCGGCCAACTCGGCATGAATTTGCTGCCTCAGATCGTAGCACTGGTGGCACTGGCACGCGTCTGTTGTCATGGCAACACATCTATTATGGAAACAGCAAGGGGTATCTCCTTCTGGGTCACACAGGGCCCTGAACCAGTGTAAGTCATGCATTCGTCCTTCCAGCTCATCAAAACTTAGATTCCCTTTCAGAGAAAAATGGAGGTGCTCCGTATAATTTGTTGTTGTGGTGTAGGTTTTTTTAAATATATTTTTTCTTTTAAATAATTTCTTGGTAGCTTGTTATGTTGACGAATGAGGATTATTGGGCGTGTGATGTTATTGGTGTGCTGTTGTGATGGTGGGGAGCTGTGGAGTAGCTAGGGTTAATACCGCCTGGGACAGGCAAGAGTTCTGCCTCGAACTTTCAAGAAAAAACTCTGCAGTTGCCCATCCATTTAAAAAGAGTGCCACGCCGGGCGGACCGCCATCTCTGATCTCCCTTCATAAGCCACGGGTGGGGAGAGAGGTTCGAGGAAGGGAGATTATTTTGAGATGTTATTTCGTGGTGAGGAATAAGGAAGGAGGATTTATTTGGTGTTGTTTAGTCTTGTGTACTAGTAAAGCCCCGTTTGACGTGACTCACCACACATTTTGTCTTCTCTTTGCAAAGAATATGGCAGGAAATGTCCGGCCCTTGCCTCGTGGAGAAACCTGTTGATAGCCTCTAACTCCGGCTCACTGTGCGATCTCCTCAACCACGTGCCCCGGACCATGGTCTCCAGCACGTTCTGGCACGAGCCCCGCACTGAGATGTTGACCACACTAGGCGTGTGCGGCGCTAAGTACTGACCGTAAATCATCAAAAGCACCATGACGAAAAGAACTGCCAAAAATGTCCCCACGTTTGGTCGATAAAAAGAATTGTTTGTCATCGCAGATTGTTTCTTGTTTTTTTTTTTTTGTAAATTAGTTATGTTTAAAGTAATTGCACTCTTTCTCTAAAACTACTATCAGCACGCTTTTCTTGCTGGAGACTGTTTTCGAACTGATTATGGTTTATAACTTTTTTTGTCTTTTTTGGCTTCTTTTAAGGTGGCGAGCACTTATTTTGAAAAATCTATTATTTTCTAAGTGTAATTGATTTGCCCCTTAAAATCTTTATTCATGTTTTGTTCTTAAGGGTAACTCTGTGAATTCGGTGAGAATGTTTGTACCTGTCAAGTGTATGCCCTCTCGTTAAAGTCACGTGTCAATCCTTGTTATAACTCAGAGTTTACCAAGACTTTCCTCACACGTGGTAACTCAAGGCCTGCCCAGAATTCCGCGGCACACCATAAGTAAAAAAAAAAAAAGGGAACTTGATACCGAGTAACATCATGTGTTCTGTTTAACATTGATAATGGCGTGTATTACTGAAGGGGGTACGTTGACGCTGCATTGCTTTGTTTCAACTATCTTAGTCTGTATTGGACACTTGTTTCAACTGTATTGGACACTTGTTTCAACTGTATTGGACACTTGTTTCAACTGTATTGGACATGTGTTTCAACTGTATTGGACACTTGTTTCAACTGTATTGGACACTTGTTTCAACTGTATTGGACACTTGTTTCAACTGTATTGGACACTTGTTTCAATTGTATTGGACATGTGTTTCAACTGTATTGGACACTTGTTTCAACTGTATTGGACACTTGTTTCAACTGTATTGGACACTTGTTTCAACTGTATTGGACACTTGTTTCAACTGTATTGGACACTTGTTTCAACTGTATTGGACACTTGTTTCAACTGTATTGGACACTTGTTTCAACTGTATTGGACACTTGTTTCAACTGTATTGGACACTTGTTTCAACTGTATTGGACACTTGTTTCAACTGTATTGGACACTTGTTTCAACTGTATTGGACACTTGTTTCAACTGTATTGGACACTTGTTTCAACTGTATTGGACACTTGTTTCAACTGTATTGGACACTTGTTTCAACTGTATTGGACACTTGTTTCAACTGTATTGGACACTTGTTTCAACTGTATTGGACACTTGTTTCAACTGTATTGGACACTTGTTTCAACTGTATTGGACACTTGTTTCAACTGTATTGGACACTTGTTTCAACTGTATTGGACACTTGTTTCAACTGTATTGGACACTTGTTTCAACTGTATTGGACACTTGTTTCAACTGTATTGGACACTTGTTTCAACTGTATTGGACACTTGTTTCAACTGTATTGGACACTTGTTTCAACTGTATTGGACACTTGTTTCAACTGTATTGGACACTTGTTTCAACTGTATTGGACACTTGTTTCAACTGTATTGGACACTTGTTTCAACTGTATTGGACACTTGTTTCAACTGTATTGGACACTTGTTTCAACTGTATTGGACACTTGTTTCAACTGTATTGGACACTTGTTTCAACTGTATTGGACACTTGTTTCAACTGTATTGGACACTTGTTTCAACTGTATTGGACACTTGTTTCAACTGTATTGGACACTTGTTTCAACTGTATTGGACACTTGTTTCAACTGTATTGGACACTTGTTTCAACTGTATTGGAAGCTTGTTTAAACTGTCTGTATTGGACACTTGTTTAAACTGTCTGCATTGGACACTTGTTTAAGCTGTATTGGACACTTGTTTAAACTATATTGGAAACTTGTTTAAACTGTATTGGACACTCGTTTAAACTGTCTGTATTGGACGCTTGTTTAAACTGTCTGTATTGGACACTTGTTTAAACTGTCTGTATTGGACGCTTGTTTAAACTGTCTGTATTGGACGCTTGTTTAAACTGTCTGTATTGGACGCTTGTTTAAACTGTCTGCATTGGACACTTGTTTAAACTGTCTCTATTGGACGCTTGTTTAAACTGTCTGTATTGGACGCTTGTTTAAACTGTCTGCATTGGACACATGTTTAAACTGTCTGTATTGGACGCTTGTTTAAACTGTCTGCATTGGACACTTGTTTAAACTGTCTGTATTTGACGCTTGTTTAATCTGTCTGTATTGGACACTTGTTTAAACTGTCTGTATTTGACACTTGTTTAAGCTGTCTGCATTGGACACTTGTTTAAGCTGTATTGGACACTTGTTTAAGCTGTCTATATTGGACAATTGTTTAAACTGTCTGCATTGGACAATTGTTTTAACTGTCTGCATTGGACACTTGTTTAAACTGTCTGCATTGGACACTTGTTTAAGCTGTATTGGACACTTGTTTAAGCTGTCTGTATTGGACGCTTGTTTAAACTGTCTGTATTGGACACTTGTTTAAACTGTCTGCATTGGACACTTGTTTAAGCTGTATTGGAAACTTGTTTAAAGTATATTGGAAACTTGTTTAAAGTATATTGGAAACTTGTTTAAACTATATTGGAAACTTGTTTAAACTATATTGGAAACTTGTTTAAACTATATTGGAAACTTGTTTAAGCTGTCTGTATTGGACGCTTGTTTAAGCTGTCTGTATTGGACGCTTGTTTAAACTGTCTGTATTGGACGCTTGTTTAAACTGTATTGGACACTTGTTTAAACTGTCTGTATTGGGCACTTGTTTAAGCTGTCTGTATTGGACACTTGTTTAAACTATATTGGAAACTTGTTTAAACTGCATTGGACACTTGTTTAAGCTGTATTGGACACTTGTTTAAACTGTCTGTATTGGACACTTGTTTAAACTATATCGGAAACTTGTTTAATCTGTCTGTATTGGACACTTGTTTAAACTGTCTGTACTGGACGCTTGTTTAAACTGTCTGTATTGGACACTTGTTTAAACTGTCTGTATTAGCTACTTGTTTAAACTGTCTGTATTGGACACTTGTTTAAACTGTCTGTATTAGCTACTTGTTTAAACTGTCTGTATTGGACACTTGTTTAAACTGTCTGTATTGGACACTTGTTTAAACTGTCTGTATTGGACACTTGTTTAAACTGCCTGTATTGGACACTTGTTTAAACTGTCTGTATTGGACACTTGTTTAAACTGTCTGTATTGGACACTTGTTTAAACTGTCTGTATTGGACACTTGTTTAAACTGTCTGTATTGGACACTTGTTTAAACTGTCTGTATTGGACACTTGTTTAAGCTGTCTGCATTGGACACTTGTTTAAGCTGTATTGGACACTTGTTTAAGCTGTCTATATTGGACAATTGTTTAAACTGTCTGCATTGGACAATTGTTTAAACTGTCTGCATTGGACACTTGTTTAAGCTGTATTGGAAACTTGTTTAAACTATCTGTATTGGACGCTTGTTTAACTGTCTGTATTGGACACTTGTTTAAACTGTCTGTATTGGACGCTTGTTTAAACTGTCTGTATTGGACACTTGTTTAAACTGTCTGTATTGGACGCTTGTTTAAACTGTCTGTATTGGACGCTTGTTTAAACTGTCTGTATTGGACGCTTGTTTAAACTGTCTGCATTGGACACTTGTTTAAACTGTCTCTATTGGACGCTTGTTTAAACTGTCTGTATTGGACGCTTGTTTAAACTGTCTGCATTGGACACATGTTTAAACTGTCTGTATTGGACGCTTGTTTAAACTGTCTGCATTGGACACTTGTTTAAACTGTCTGTATTGGACACTTGTTTAAACTGTCTGTATTGGACACTTGTTTAAACTGTCTGTATTGGACACTTGTTTAAACTGTCTGTATTGGACACTTGTTTAAACTGTATGTATTGGACGCTTGTTTAAAATGTATGTATTGGACGCTTGTTTAAACTCTCTGTATTGGCCACTTGTTTAAACTCTCTGTATTGGCCACTTGTTTAAACTCTCTGTTTTGAACACTTGTTTAACCTGTCTGTATTGGACGCTTGTTTAAACAGTCTGTAGTAGACACTTGTATAGACAGTCTGTATTGGACACATCTCTGTCATCATGATGCCTAATAGCGCAATAATAGGCTGTTCAATGTCTCTTTTATATCGACACGCTTTTAGCACACTGATGTAACTTCATATACTCTGTGCTATGCTCATTTTGCGCGGCGCACCAGGCACCATCTGGCGGCGCACCAGGCAACATCCAGCGGCACACCGGTTGCGGAGCACTGTGAAATATAACGTATGCAATGATTAAATAACACAAATAAATGTCCTACAGGCTCAGTTCATGAAACACACGGAACAAGAAAATACAAGTCACAGTTAATTTGGTCACCTCCAACCAGAAGATGAGAGCTTGGAGCATGTCGTGACATTCTTTTGATCCGTAGTTTTCGGACTTGGTGTTATAGTGCAGCCACGCGGGTTTCATGTTTTTATGTAACACTCTATGTCGGGACTGAACCGAAAGTATGATTAATTTATAGTAAAGATGAAACGTGCCCTTTATGTTTTTAAATCTAATATAACCCTAAATGTTCATGTAACTTTGAGTTGATCAAAACACTGAAACTATTCAATGACACACTGCTTTGATCCAAACACTGAAACCAGTCAATGACACACTGCGTTGATCCAAACACTGAAACCAGTCAATGACACACTGCGTTGATCCAAACACTGAAACCAGTCAATGACACACTGCTTTGATCCAAACACTGAAACCAGTCAATGACACACTGCTTTGATCCAAACACTGAAACCAGTCAATGACACACTGCTTTGATCCAAACACTGAAACTATTCAATGACACACTGCTTTGATCCAAACACTGAAACCAGTCAATGACACACTGCGTTGATCCAAACACTGAAACCAGTCAATGACACACTGCTTTGATCCAAACGCTGAAACCAGTCAATGACACACTGCGTTGATCCAAACGCTGAAACCAGTCAATGACACA